AGTGTTGGCCACGCCACAAAAATACCCTGTACTGTTTCCTTTACGGATTTATTTTGTTAGTCTTGGTGTTTAGAAAAATATAGATAAATAATAAAAAAATAAGTTTACCCCCGCAGGCTTTTACCACCTTATATTATATACTGTTTTTTAACAAAGTTTTAGTAAATAAGATACAGCGTAGCAACACTGCATAATGCTCTAAATAAAAATAGTGTAGTGTATGGAGAACTTTATGCTGAACCAAATTCTATCCAGAAAAATTGGTGAGCAAATTAAAAGAACTTCCAACATTATTATCATTACTTTATTTTGGAACATATACATATGTACTATGTACGTATATACACCAAATATTTTTAGGGCGTGCACCTTATAAAAAACCATGTGCAATATGTATATAAAATTTTCATATATATCTTTGTTAATAACGACGATACTGGACTTCCTCGCACTAATGGGCCACCCTGTATATAACCTGTATGTTCCTGATGAGCAATTAAAACATACATTAATAAAATTTTTGATACTGAATCATGGATAATAGGTATTGTTTGTAGCTTTGAGATACAGATTATTTATTTTCGTTAGTATATTCATTCAGACAATCTGTCGACACTGTGTTTTGTTTTAGTTAATTAAGAAGTGTTATATTACGCGCGGGATTTTCTTACATATTATATTTTTAAGGCAAAGGTAACTTTCTTATATATTTTTTTCTATATTTTAATAATTTTCTTATAATAATAATATCTATATTTTTTCTATATTTTAAGTTCAACTAAGGGCTGTATATAAAATGCCACACCTAATAAACACAAGACACACCTTTTATGAGAAACTTAATATTTAGTCATAGAGTTCGATTTTCCTTTAATAAATCCTGACAATATATCTTTACTTAGCCCTCTTGAATTTCATAGAATCGATATTAGTAAATTGGCATTGCGTGTGTGGTGCCCTAAAAAGTTTGTTAACCATTGATAGAAGCAGCTGGTGTCAGTGTAGCATGACGTTGAGGGAAACCCGTGTTGTTTTACTATGACCAACTATTTTTTTAAATTAATAAAAAACCACAAGAAGAATGTTAATAGACCAGGAAAAAACGAAGAAACAAAATATCGAAATTAGTAGAAAAAATCTTAAAATTGCAATAAACCGGGAGGTGCATCGTCGTTGGAAACATAGGAAATCCCATGCAAATTTTGAACTGTTCAAATATTGGCTATTATTGATTTTACAGCAAAGTCGTAAATATTTTTTTTAAAGATTTATGTATGGTAAATACACATGCCAAATTTGAACAATTTTGGGCCAGCCAATTTTGAGCAGTTTAAAAAAGATTGCATCTATTTTTAAATTAAAACCGAACAGGTAACAATCAAACACCAGACATGCCTTAGGTTTACAAACTATGATTTTTTTATTACAAAAATAATTTAATTTTAATATTTGGGGAGAAATAAACCGAAACACATCGGATACACTGTCTAAGCTATTTCCCGCGTAGTACCATTTTATCATGCCTACCGCACTCCGGACATTCAAAAAATCTCATTGCTTTGTTGCCTCTTTACTTTTTGGTTGTCGCTGTTAACTGAGTTTATAATTCTTCTCCATTGTGTTCTATTGTGAGCTGTTTCTTCCCATTCATTCTGCACATTAATCCCCTTTAAGTTTTCGTGGAAAATGTCCTTATACCTTTTGAGTTGTGAACCCGACCTCCTCTTACCGTCTACAAGCTCACCGTAAAGCAGAGATTTTGCTATGCGGCTTTCTTGCATTCTGCACACGTTACCAGCCCATCTTAAGCGGGGTTTTGTAACCATGACTCCAATACTCTCGCAGTTAGCTTTTTCATGGACCGATACGTTTGAGACATGATGGAACCATCGGATTCTTAAGAGTTGTCTAAGGTGTCTCTGTTGCAACTTGTTTAATGCGTTCATGTGTCGGCGGTACGACACCCAGGTTTCACTCTCATATAACATGGTGGGGATTATGATTGCTCGGTATACTGCAAGTTTCTTTTTTGTACTCAAGTCATAATTGTAGAAAACCCTGTCTTTCAATTTCCAGAATGCTCTTGAGGCGCTGCTAATCCTATGCTGAATTTCAGAGTCGATATTGATACACCAACGACGATGCACCACCTGGTAGAACTACTTCTTTTGGAATTTATTAACGTAAATTTATTCGTCGAGCCAACGCGACATCGTTTTTTTTTTCGATTATTCAATTTATACATGGTGTGAAAAAATAGTGTTTCGTTGGGTGATTCTACAGATAAAAATAAAACAAAAAGTTCCTATGAACATATGCCCTAAAATACTTCCCGAGGAAGTTACAGTCCTTGAAAAGGAAAATAGAAGTTTTTTTTTTATTTTAAGAACACTGGTATACCGTTTTTCTTGGTATCCCTCTATACAATGCCCAAAATGTTTCACGAAGTACTTCCAGTTTCGACAAAATTTTTATAACACGCGTCTATAATCTTCATCAATCAAGGTAAAACTTTGTGGTGGCTTCAGAAAAATAAGTAAACATGGACTCTCCAAAAAAAATCCTTTATGGATATTTCGCCTCTGCACTGTAAGAAAATCTACAAAATTAAATAGTTATTTTTTGTGAACACTTCTGGCATTAAACCTAAACGGACACGGCTTGTCAGAAGTTATGTTTATAGTTATACAAATTTGCCTAACAAAGAAAAACCTGCTTAACGTTTCGGAAAGTTTATCTCTTTTCGTCGTTGGAAGCAAAAAAAATACAAAGAATAAAGAAAAAAAACTATTTAAAATATTTAAATTCAACTATTCGAGAACACCTTACTTTTTTAAAACAGATACGTCTACAAGAAAACGTTGACGTTCTGTTAAAATTACATTATATCAAGTTAAACTTCAAAATTAACAATTACTACCTGATAACAATTACTTAATAAGGTAAAACCAAAAGCCCCAAACTTTCTGTATGATTATTTTTAAATTTCACCTCGAATTTCACGTATGTTATGTATATTTATGTTATGTTCTTTAAAATCAAAGAAGGCGATTGCCATACATTACTAACATCTACAGATGCATGAGCAATACATTTATTTTTATTAGATTGAATTAAAAAAGCCTCTTTTATTTTTCTTTTAGTGGCTATCGCTTCTTTCATTATAATTTTGGCGTTATTAAAATTTATTCTGTATCCTGTGTCCCATGAATTGATGTTTCAGTGTCAAAGTTTCAAAATAAACTAATTTTAGATGTTTACAGAAAACCCACAAACACAGATAGATACTTAAATTTCACATCTAATCTCAGTATAAATGTAAAAAAGGTGTTATAAAAAGTTTATATGATAGGGCAAAATTAATATGTACAGAGAACATTTCACTAAACAGAGATATAAACCACATAAAAAATACATTAATAAAAAACGACTATCCACCATATTATTTTATTGACAAAACATTAAACAAAATACAAACCCCAAATCATAGACACAATGATAACAATACACAATATATACAACTTACAATTTCCATACATACGAGGCGTTTCGGAAAAATAAGAAGGATAGGAAAACAATATAACATACGAACATCTTTCAAAACACAAAATACACTTAGATCCATTTTATCACATACTAAACCAATGAATACAGAACAACAAACAAAAAATGTAATATACCAAATACCCTGTGAATGCGATACATTTTACATTGGTGAAACATCTAGACCCTTAAATGTTAGAATTAAAGAACATAAAGATTATTTAAGAAAGGGAGATTTTCACAAATCTAAGATTTGTCAGCATTCATGGGACAAGGGCACAGAATACATTTGAATAACGCCAAAATTATAATGAAAGAAGCGATAGCCTCTAAAAGAAAAATAAAAGAGGCTTTTTTAATTCAATCTAATAAAAATAAATGTATTGCTCATGCATCTGTAGATGTTAGTAATATATATGGCAATCGCTTCTTTGATTTTAAAGAACATAACATAAATAAACATAACATACGTAAAATTTAAAAATAATCATATAGAAAGTTTGGGGCTTTTTGGTTTTACCTTATTAAGTAATTGTTATCTGGTAGTAATTATTGTTAATTTTGAAGTTTAACTTGATATAATGTCATTTTAACAGAACGTCAACATTTTCTTCTAGAGGTATCTGCTTTAAAAATTAAAGTGTTCGCGAATAGTTGAATTTAAATATTTTAAATAGTTTTTTTCTTTATTCTTTGTATTTTTTTTGCTTCCGACGACGGAAAGAGATAAACTTTCCGAAACGTTAAGCATTTTTTCTTTGCTAGGCAAATTTGTATAACTGTAAACAGAACTTCTGACAAGCAGTGTCCGTTTAGGTTTAACGCCAGAAGTATTTACAAAAAATAACTATTTTATTTTGTAGATTTTCTTGCAGTGCAGTCGCGAAATACCCATAAAGGATTTTTCTTGGAGAGATGAATCCGATACATAGGTATAGACATATTTTAAGTAAACATGGGGTATGACTAAATATTAGTTTGTAATGGGGTGTAATGTAATACCACTATTTTAAAATGATATGGAAAATCAAAAACAGTACATTTAGAAAAGAGTTACCTATGGCTATTCCTCTAAGGTTACACAATAATATTTATTTTTAATCATTGTCTAATCTTATTAATTACAATATATTAGAAAAAATATATTTCCAAAACCTAAAATCCTAAAACTGCAGGCTAACAGAGACTAACTCTTCTGGTGGTCCGCCTTTTATCGTGTTACTCTGCTATTTCAAACTTTAACCATAATAACATTTTGTTTCCCTTGTATAATAAACAGATGGGGACTTTATTTTTTTAATTCAAATAATTTGGCTACAATTTTTTTAAAAATTATCAAAATCGGCCTACTAGAACAAAATTATATTGAACTTTAAAATGCATGAAAGTTTTAAGGTGTCAGTCGGTGTATTTGTCTATTGTAAAACACATTTATATAATGTTTTTATTTGTTTCAGGTGCGAATAATGGAACAGAAGTTGGCATGGTCGGCTCAAAGTGATACCAGCAACGCTCAGATCCATCGACTGGAAGGAGAAGTTGAGGAGCAAAGACAGCTTCGCCTCCACGACGCACGACAGGTCAGTATAACATCTTTTTTTTGATTTTATGCATTCTACACCACTAAAAGTTATTTCGTCCTAATCCAGTCCAGTTTATTCGCGACCATTCAAGTCGCGTCTAATAAAATAACCCAAACCTATGGCGTTTACACTAGTCCAAGAAAATAAGCCTTCAAATACGAAATTTTCGTAAAAACTTGAATTTTTGATATAAGTTACTTTGAAACACCTAAAAACGATTTATGAAATATTCTTTTTTAAATTCACTCCTAAGAAGGGGTGAATTAAATAATTAAAGTGATTTTTTCAAAATGTCGGAGAAACAGTAAGGACTAGAAAAAAAAGTTCAAATAAAAGTTGTAGACCGTCAAATTTTACATAAAAATTATCTCTAAGTATACTTTTTTTGCTCAATATTATATGTTTTATCTAGGTGGAGGCTAAAGCTGCTCGAATCAAAGAATGGGTGACAAATAAGCTGCGCGAACTGGAGCAGCAAAATCAGCACCTTCGCGAACAGAACATCAAGTGTAACCAACAGCTTGAACTTCTGCGCAATCACGTCGCTCTGGCGGATAGGCGGAGGTCGGAGAGTAATTCTCCTGAACCTAGACAAGTAAGTGTTGGTTTAAGGTTGATCAACATTCTATGTTCTATTGACAGTGGCGGATAAGGAGGGGGGCCATGGGCCCGGGTCCCCCCTAAAATGTATGAATTTGGTTAAAAATTAGGCTTTTGGGTTTAAAATGGCTCCCTAAATAGCATATTCTACATTACTTTTTATTTGGGCCCCCCCTAAAAAAAATTCCTGTATCCGCCCCTGTCTATTGGTTTATTTCAAAAATTACATACCACGGTATTTGAACCTCACTGGAGTGACCAATTTTCTCATCTTAAATGCAATACTACCGCGTATGTTATTTAATTTTTGGATTATTCAGTAAATTATAAAGGTATTTAATGTACAATGTTTATGCCTTTCTTCAAATATTTCGGAAATATTAAGTGGTCTCAGCCAATTGTTGTCTAACTTCTATATTTAACTTATTTATTTATTTTGTGTTTAATATTTTGCAGTTGTCATTTTTATAGTCGGTTTGAATTTTTACGTTGACTGCATACTAGAGAAACAGTTTATTTAACAGAAATAAACAAAACACAATTCTACAGATGATTGATTGTGGGTTTTGGAAATAACAGAAGGACACAAATGATATAAAAAAATATCATAAAGAAATAAATCAATGGTAAATTATTATCAACAAATATTTTAGACATCTCTTTAAGATATAAGCAAAGTTTTGTATGAATAAAAATGTGGGTCCTCTTCAAATTTTCTTTTTTTTACTCCCCAGTATTCTCGGGTCTTGAGTAACAAACAGGGGGTTTCGGTGTAGTTTAATTAATTATTGAATATTACCTACAATATCATTTAACAATAAGGTACTTCTAAGTATGTCATTTTGTACTAATATTGAATTAAATTTTCAGCTACCATTATCAGCAACTTCGTCCTACAGCAGCTCCCGTCATCGAAGGCATCAATCTGTTTGCCTTTCAACGAATACCAACTTTGAACCAGTCATTCCTAGTACTCTAGTTACAAGCGTCAATTTTGGAACCAGCAATTCTAGGTAATTTTTGAAGCGAAACATTTTTACGCGCGTTGGGGGTAAAAATTTAAGGGCCGTGTGTCACGAATGACGGCCGCGAGCCGGCCGTGATGCGCAAGCTAGCGAGGGGAAAAGTAACAGCGGCAGTGTTGCCACAGCTACCCCATTCGGCTTGCGTTCCAGCTTGCGTTAGTCAGTTGTATTCATAGAGAAAGCCTAATATTAAGCCTATAAAACAATCAGCTCTTGATTTCTAACTTCTCTTGACGGAGGATAATCAAAGGCCAAAATGACATTTCTCGCAAATTTTGAAGTATAATTAGTGGAAAAGTTAAAAGTTTGATAACTTTTTCTACTAATTGAAAATGTCTACCACTAATTTTGACGTTCTGAATGCTAATATTGAAATTAAAGGAACAAACTTCTACGCTAATTGAAACCACTAATTGGGAGGTTCTGAATGAATCTTACAACGGTAAATGATGGAGATAAACATTTGTGATTGATTACAATTTTATTTTAAGAAGAAACTTTTGTTAACAACATTCTGAGAATTCGAATAGTGAACTGAATAATGACAAGACAAGTGACATCTGTCTAAAAAAGACAGCGATTTAGAGTGACAATTTGGTTATGTAAAATTTAGAGCGACAATTTTTTAAATAATATCGACATGTTGAATTTGAAATTATTAATGCAATAATGAATTTCTTTAGTGTTAGAAATTTTAAAAATAATTATTGTGAATTTAGGTTAGTTCAAAACATATGTTTTATACGAGCGCAAGCGCTTACAAGAATATTGATTATTTTCTTAAGACAAGGTAGAGAAGTATGAACGGCATTTCCTTAAGTTCTCATGGTTAATTCTTGGTTCTTAGGGTTAATGTTAAGGGTAAGGTTAGGAGTAATACTCGAAGTATGAACCCACCATTACTTCGAATTTCATATCTTTTTTTCTCCACAGCATGGACCCACTCACTGACGACCTCCGAACCGCCGTGGACAACCTGAGCATCGGGCGCATCCCGAGTAGTAGCGCTAGCGACCCTGACCTCGCCCACGACTACGCCGAAATCTACACCCCCAGCAGGGAAAAGGTTACGTGGCCCAGAGCGCCCACGCCTCCCCTGCATAGGTTCCCCAGCTGGGAGGACCGGATATACCAGGTGGCCGTGGACGGGCTGACCTTGACGGGGACCACGCCCAGCGACATAGGGCCCGAACAGGCCGGGTACCAGGATATTCCCGTGCCCGTGTACGCCACTGTGAAGGGTAGGGCGAGTCAGATCAGGTCGATGCCGTTCACTGGGGATTCTAGTGATGATTCAAGTGATGGTGAAGGAAATAACACGCAGGTAAGGGGACATGGAGTTTTTTAATTACTTGGTTTATATACAGTTCATATCAAATAAACTTTTAGTCTCGTGATTAAGCTTGACCGGCACAGCGTTGCTCACTTTTACATATTTTCTTTTAATCAAAATATTTTAGGAAACAAAAATACTTTCAACAATCAACAAAACTCATCTTCTTAACAGTGCTTAAGGGACATAAAGGGCCATTACTATCGCTTTCCCGTTCAAAAAATGTCTAAATTCTTCTAATAAAGTTGCAATGAGTTTTTTTACGGCTACTAAGGTATCTTGTACACTTTGCACTAAAAGAGTTTCTAAATAGAACAATGTTCGACTGCAAGTTCTGTGAGTAAACATTTTTAAGCTAAAAGTATCACAACACTATTTATTTAAACCAAAAACTTGTAATACAACACTAAAGTGTCAGAACGAATGAGAATGTCAATAAATAAATGTGACAGCTTGACATTTTTTACAGCATAGCTACCACCTGAATCCTAAACGGGAAATTTAAATTCCAGTTTGTCAGCCCGGCACCGAATATATCCATGGTTGGTAACAATGAACTTAAAAATCGGGGCCTCGATTACGTCACTAAAAGTTTATTTGGTATCAAATATAGATCATTGGAAATAGTCCTCGTTTCTCAAGGAACTCAAATAAAAAAAATGTCAAGTATTGCAACGCATTTATTTCACTACAAAAAGTTGTGCGATTTTTAATTTTCTTATCAATGATATATTTCTCTTTATTTTCAGGCTGTGGATGGTAATAATACTCACAGCAGAAGTTCTGGAGAGACATCAGGGTCCAGTCCTGGAAAAAGAACAGGTTCCAGTAGTAGCGGATCACCAAGTAAAAGTAAAACCAGAGGTACTTGCTTCAATTTAACTTTTGATAAAGCTTTGGTTAATTTCGGAATATTAGACGTAACATTTATTTGAAGTCGGTAGCCAATTTTTTATTGGAACCAAAATTGTTATATCGAACTTCACAGCTATTCTCTTTTACATAAAACATTGTCTACACTTATCAAACATTTTTTGAATCTAGTTTACTAGCGGGTGCGTCTCAAAAGTGGCTCACCCCTAAGTTGACATACGATATGTCATTCTATTCAGACTGTTATTTTCTATCGAATAAAGTAAAAAAAAATATCGAGGGTGCCATTTAAGAATTAAAAGTTGTACTCATTTCCGGTGAAACCGGAAGTGACCGAAAATGATTAAATACCCGTCAATCAACCCTAATTTATGTCATAAACTAACATACCAAATATCGGTTTTTATCTGTAAAAATAAAAAAAAAGTTATAGGGGTGAGCCACTTTTGAGACGCACCGAGTATATGAAGTTAGCCATGCTTATTTATCTTTTTAATGCCTAATTTCTTTTTTATGACTCATCTGAGTGTTAACTCAAAGCCGTTTCAGATATATCTTTCGAATCTGGCCTATCCGATGACTACGCTGTTCCTCCTGATGCTCTCAGTTGCGATACAACAAGTCTGGAATCATCTATGATGCTGAGAGCTTCATATTTGGACAGTCCTAAAAGGATAGAAAGTTTAGAAAAATGTGGATCGTTAGCTAAACTAGGTATATACTTATATGTCTTTTTTATTGATAGTGAGATGAAGTTACGTCTCGTTGATACTGTATATATGTAACAGTACAAATACTGTAGATTTTGTATCATTGATAATGAGATAGGATTATATTAAATTTATTTTTACTTCACTTTTTCCTTAATATTGAGATATTAATTTCATTGTGCGTCATTAATATTGAGATACGGTTATAATACATTTATTTTGACGCCACTTTGTCCTTGATATTGAGATAATGTTACATCTAATTTATTGGGAAAAGGTTATTGTGTCTCATTAATATTGAAATATTATAATAAATTTATTTTTACTTTTATTTGGTAAATTTGCGTTGCGTTTATGAAATTGTATTCCTCTTTTCGAAAGTCCTTATTTAATTTTAGAGAAAAAAATAGTTGAAACTTTTTAAAGAACTCCTTAAAATGAAGCAAATTGTTTATTTTAAATAATTTATACGAATTCTTTTTTGAGTTATTTAAAATCGAGTATAGTCAGAGTATAAAATTTAATAACATAAATTTTCTGCACATTCAAACATTTTCCAAAATTATAAAACTATGAATTATTGATGCTTTCTTTGAAAGCACTTTATGAAGTTTTTTTAAACTAATTATTCTAAAATACTTTATACTCGATGGTCTATAGAGGGTGTTTCCAAACTAGATGTACTATTTTTTCTACTATTTCATATAGAACACACTATACAGGGTGAGTCTTAAATAAGTGCAAATATTTTCAGGGCTGGTAGATCTCGATAAAAGAAACATATTTTCTCTTTGCCATTTTTCAGATAAGTCCAAAATAACCGAGTCATCTAAGTTTGAAAATAAAAAAAAAATATTTTTTTTGAAAAAATTTTGAGAGCCACCGGATTTTTTCTGTAATTGCATCACTTTTGTACCGTAACCATAGAGTAAAGCCGTCTTCTTCTTCTTCGTCGTCTCTTCATGTCTGAAGAATCGTGACATTATGGCTATGTGCAGTTGGTGATTTTGATCTTCTATCGTTGGCGATCTTCCGCCTCTCGGAGATTTGATTGATTTGACGAGTAAAGCCGTAACTATGGTAATATCAGAGATTAAGAAATTAAGTATGATTTATAGACTCACAGTTAGATTTGGCTTTGGCTTTGGCGCCGCCGCCCAATTCTTAAAACTGTATATTACCATAAGAGCGTTTATAAACACGGTTGGCTTTGGCTTCGGCGCCCGGTTGCCGTCGGACTTGTGTCTTATGTTTAACTTTTTACCGTTCGAGGCGGTTCGCCGTCCGTAGCACCACGTAGCAAATGACGTTACAGCTAGAGGTGGGTTGTGAAATCGCAGTCCGCGACTTTGTCAGAGCTCCACCAACGTCGCAGTATGTGACTGCTCCAGTTCCAAGAAAATCGCAGTGACATTTCGGAGCAGTTTACAAGTTTAGGACATCTGCGCTCGTGAGTAGCAATAGGAGCAATAGCAGGCAATAGTGTAAATTCTGAAAATGCTCCTAGCCCCGTCGCCCGGTCAGACTGTTCCAGTCACAGTCGTCGCAGGTCGCAGTCGACTGGAGCATAGTATATTGAGTATATTCTGTGTACTGGAGCTGTTGGGAGTTTGGGAACGGGAAACGTAGCAGCGTTCGCTTTTTCTTTCATGAATCTAAATAAGATATTTATGTATTATATATTAATCACAAACAGATGTTTTTGACAAAGGTAATTTTTAACTTGTTAGTATGTTTATTTGTTAGTTAATTTTGTATCTGTGTTTTGTTGTATATCCTAAATCTTTTATTTGATCTTATACATTCATATAAGTTTTATTATTTATATCTATTTTTAAGGTCTGATGATGGCTAAATAGCCGAAACCGGTCACTAATAAAGATTTTTTTGACAGTTTCGACTTTGAATTGAATATAACATTAAGTTTTTACCATGGGCCACCACTCTGTGAAAATGAACAGACTCTTTAAGATATTTATAGCAAAGTGCTTGGTACTTAGAAACACTCAAATTCTTCTGAATAGACTAAAAAAATATAGCAACATCTATCAAACTAAGACATCAGTATAGTACCGTACAGCCGCGATTTTAAGAGCTCTAGGGGCCCGTAGTTCGGAAAAGTTCGAATCTTGTTCGCAAGGGCCCGGGAGGCTTGGGGCCCGTCGGTGACTTACCCCGATTGCACAGACGTTAAAATCGCCACTACTGATCGAAATAAAAAACGGCGTCCAGTTGGCTTGGAAATGACAATCGATAACATTCCCCATAAATTTTACATATAAAATGCCAGCAATCTTCATTTCATAGCTATCGCTGACGCCGTTTTTTTCGATCATACGATATAAATAAATAAAAACTAGACGATGATGTTGCCTATCATAATCACACCGGTGCCGAACGGTGCCGAACACCGAGTGCGATTTTTCGGAGCAATTAACCTATAAAACTACATTTTTAATTTATAGGTTAATTGCTCCGAAAAATCGCTGCTACTTGTCACAGTGCTTTTATTGGAGCAGTCGCAGAGCGTAGCAGCTCCACAAAAATCGCAGACTGGCCCACCTCTAGTTACAGCCAATAGAATAGTAAAGAGCGATCACGTGTTGCTTTGTTTACATGTAGTTTTGAAATATGGGAATTCCAAATTTATGGTCACTCCCAATAACCCTAATAGGGTAATTTCATCAATACCATTACTTTCCAAATCCATAATTAAAAATCTCGAACAAAAAACCAAAACTTTAAACACTTTCGTCTCTAAAAACGCACTATAGACTCTGCTACTCTCAAGTAAAAAGTAAACAAAAATGTAAGGTTAGATCTGCCCAAAACGGCCAAAGCCAACTGTCAACAGTGGAGTTTATAAATGCGATTTTGCGGCGCTACGAACAGTCGACGCCAAATCCAAAGCCAACTGTAGAGTTTATAAATCGACCTTTATACCGAAAATTTGCGGTGAACAGGCAGTTCTAAAAAGTTTTCGAAAAATATACAGGGAAACAGGGCCATGTAAGTGAAATATTCAAAATGGTTCCAGCCAAAGTTTCCCAATTATGACGGGTGATGGCGCTGATCGTCAAGATTTTTGGACAGGGATTTTGCTTACCGACAATACGACGTGAGCTACGACCGGACCAGTACCAATTAGAAGTGGGCCAGTCTGCGATTTTTGTGGAGCTGCTACGCTCTGCGACTGCTCCAATAAAAGCACTGTGACAAGTAGCAGCGATTTTTCGGAGCAATTAACCTATAAATTAAAAATGTAGTTTTATAGGTTAATTGCTCCGAAAAATCGCACTCGGTGTTCGGCACCGTTCGGCACCGGTGTGATTATGATAGGCAACATCATCGTCTAGTTTTTATTTATTTATATCGTATGATCGAAAAAAACGGCGTCAGCGATAGCTATGAAATGAAGATTGCTGGCATTTTATATGTAAAATTTATGGGGAATGTTATCGATTGTCATTTCCAAGCCAACTGGACGCCGTTTTTTATTTCGATCAGTAGTGGCGATTTTAACGTCTGTGCAATCGGGGTAAGTCACCGACGGGCCCCAAGCCTCCCGGGCCCTTGCGAACAAGATTCGAACTTTTCCGAACTACGGGCCCCTAGAGCTCTTAAAATCGCGGCTGTACGGTACTATACTGATGTCTTAGTTTGATAGATGTTGCTATATTTTTTTAGTCTATTCAGAAGAATTTGAGTGTTTCTAAGTACCAAGCACTTTGCTATAAATATCTTAAAGAGTCTGTTCATTTTCACAGAGTGGTGGCCCATGGTAAAAACTTAATGTTATATTCAATTCAAAGTCGAAACTGTCAAAAAAATCTTTATTAGTGACCGGTTTCGGCTATTTAGCCATCATCAGACCTTAAAAATAGATATAAATAATAAAACTTATATGAATGTATAAGATCAAATAAAAGATTTAGGATATACAACAAAACACAGATACAAAATTAACTAACAAATAAACATACTAACAAGTTAAAAATTACCTTTGTCAAAAACATCTGTTTGTGATTAATATATAATACATAAATATCTTATTTAGATTCAGGAAAGAAAAAGCGAACGCTGCTACGTTTCCCGTTCCCAAACTCCCAACAGCTCCAGTACACAGAATATACTCAATATACTATGCTCCAGTCGACTGCGACCTGCGACGACTGTGACTGGAACAGTCTGACCGGGCGACGCGACGGGGCTAGGAGCATTTTCAGAATTTTCACTATTGCCTGCTATTGCTCCTATTGCTACTCACGAGCGCAGATGTCCTAAACTTGTAAACTGCTCCGAAATGTCACTGCAATTTTCTCGGAACTGGAGCAGTCACATACTGCGACGTTGGTGGAGCTGTGACAAAGTAGCGGACTGCGATTTCACAACCCACCTCTAGTACCAATCAGAATGATCAGTCCAGGTGGATGACAATTCTTATGGGAGAACTGGAAATGGTTGAAAACTTGACTACAAGCGATTTTCTAGGAATCTTCCTTACCGATAAATTATTGACAAGAGTGACAGATAAAACCTTGACATTCTTTCATTATAACTGTTCATCTCTTTTTCTTTCTAAAGTGTGCGTTGAAAGGAGACAAAAACAATTTTTTGCAACCCATAAATTGTTATTTGAACACCACTTTTCTCCTTGTCGGGTCGTTGACGTTGACTTGTCGCCATTTTATTTCTTTTGTTTACACGCTGCAGTTTGCTTTGTAAATTGAATACATAAATTATTTAGGCAAATATAGGTTTTTGATAAAACTCCTTGGACTAACGTGTAGGTAAGTGTTGATAAATAAGTTTTTTTTCATCTTAACATGCTCATTGTCATTCTCCTGATTTAGGTGACAGAAAAGGATCATCAAATGAAATTGAATTTTATATTTTTTCATCCCAGGACCGATAATAAAATATATATTTTATGGATACCTTCCTAAATATCAACGAGATGAGCCATCGGAAGAAAGGGACCATAGTACAAAACAGAAAGGTGATCTTTTTTCTTTCCACTTAGGATATTGAAATTATTATATACTGTAGTCGTGTTTGGCATTATGCTCTTAGAAATATAGGTAAACAAAGAAGAACAGATATAAAGCATCCCAGAGGAAAAGAGAGGCAATACCTGTACTCTCTCTCTGATATTTGTGAAAGTTACGGCAAAGTATTGTTGTAAATGTCATCTTTTTAATCGACCTGAAAACTTCGAGCAAAAAGATGACACTTTCAACAAAACCCTGACAGATATCAGAGACGATACAGGTTTTTCCTCTCTTTTTCCCTGGAATACTTTTAATTTATTATTCTTTGTTTATCTAGATTTCTCAGAGCACTATGAACGAACTCAGCTTGTATGTTTGAAATAATCGTCCAGTTGGCTTCAAAATGATGATCGATGACATTTCCTATATAATTTTACTTTCAAAATTATGATATATATCGTCATTTCTAAGCCATCTATGACGCCATTTTTTTCAGTTTTGTTATAATTAATTTTGTCTCTTGATCTACTTGTAACATTATTTTTTAATTTTATTAATTTATTGTGGTGAAATTAATTTCTGTTGTATATTTGATATTGATATTAAACATATTTTTAAAAAATGGTGTATTTTTTGTGTTTTTATCTATGTCATAATTAAAAATAAATGAAGAATTAAAATTTTTTATTTTTTTAAACTTCCCGCCATGCGTGACAATCTAGTCCGTAGTTCCTACAAGCGATATTGGGGGCGCTAGTAGCAGTAGACTTGTCAACAGTGTCAAATTTAAACGTCAATTTCACTTTCCAATATTTAGCAAGGCGCTCGCACTTCTCCTTGTGTATGTGTTTTGTGGATCAGTCTTTCTTGGACATTTGCCGCGGAAGTGTGTGTTAATTTCTGTTGTGATAAGTGTGGTTGTGTTTGTGCAGTTTGATTTTTCGGTTTTGATATTATGTTAAAATTAATTTTGAAGTATTGTATCACCTGTTTTTATGTAATAGTACTTTTTTTAGTTCTATGATCTGATGTTATGATTTGTTAATGTTTGTTTAACAATGTTATACCAAAGAGGTTATACTTAATATATCAATTTGCATAGTCTAACTTTTTTATCAATAAACTTTGTAGATTTTCAGATTATTTAATTCCTTTTGTTTCCGTTTGTAATTTTATTTTTAAGACATATTATGTGATTGTTTCAGATAATATGTTTTAAAAATAAAATTGCAAATAGCGAATAAAAATAATTAAAATAAAAAAGTGTATTTTACAATTCCCCTCGGCCCCGCACCTCTTTGGCTAACCTGTAAATGTCAGCTTTGTCGAGAGATGGCGTTACGAAAATGGAACCGATTTATTACAAGGAACTTGGGCTTCTTTTTCGTTAGTATATTCTGTGCAGGGAAATTTAAAAGAAAATGCACGATTTTTAACATCTTTTTTTGCGAAAAAAAGTCTCATGTTCCTGGGGTCGATATATACCAGCCCTGAAAATATTTGCACTTATTTAAGACTCACCCTGTATATATGTTACGGTTAAGGTCCGATATCCAGTTAATGTCGACATTATCCGGTTAATCCCAAGAATAACACAAAACAAAACAACCAAGAACATAACCAAACCCAAACATTAACGTGTTAATGTCGACATTAACCGGACATCGGACTTTTAACCGTAACATATACACATACATGTCACTTTTTTTATTGATAGAGTTGAGATTATGTCTCATTGATACTAAGATAAGATTTTGTATCATTGATAATGAGATTGTTTTTGAGGGATTATATTAAATTTATTTTTACTTCAATTTCTTCTTGATATTGAGATGATAATTTTATTTTCTCAAAAAAAATATTTTGATACAGTTATAATAAATTTGTTTTGATGTCACGTTCTTCTTCCTATTGATATAATACCGTCATAAAAGATTATGACATTAGGTAAGAAATGAAAATATATTATTTACAAAAGGATCTGAACAAATATCTGAAACAAGAAACCTTATATGAAACCGTTTCAGGAAAGTGTATCACTCTATATACTAAAAACAATATTTCAGGAGGTAAACTGAAGACATGGCGGAAAAAATGGTTTGTCCTGAAGAACGGCGTTTTGACTTACTACAAGTCTCAAAGCGATATAAACAGAAAACCTCAAGGCCAAATAGCTTTAGACGAAGTGTGTAAGATTACGAGGGCCGACGGATCAAACACCTTTGAAATAGACACTGGCAAGAAGACCTATTATCTTACGGCGGATACTATTACAGCCATGGAAGACTGGGTAAGATATCACCAAAATTAAATTCTTTAGATATCGGTTCACTTTTCTCTGCAGTGTCAGTTTATTCAAAGAACATGGATTCTTTAGATAGATACCTCTATTCTCAGTTGTATATTAGGAAAATGTGTTTAAAAAAATATTTTAATAAGTTTGTTGATATACTTCTTTCTTAGTCGTTTTATTCCATGATGCTTTTAACAAAACACGCATCACTTACGCATAATATACAGGGGTTTTTAAGAAACATGTGCAATCTTCCCACGATAGATGGCACGTTTTTGAAACCACCTGTATAATAATAAAATAACTATTTTTTTTTCTCTAGGTAAGAATTTTGCAAAATGTTCAACGAAGAAACGCAACAAAAATACTCTTAAGCAAAGAAGAAAACAAACCCTCTGTTCAAGGCTGGTTGACAAAAGTTAAAAATGGACACGCAAAAAAATGCTGGTGTGTCCTCATAGGAAAAATGTTTTTATACTTCAAACTGCCATCAGATACCGTAAGTATTTTACAAACATAAATATTATTGAGAATATTACATATTGAAAAATTATAGACGCCACATGGTCAAATTAACATGAGGGAAGCCAGAGTTGAGGAGGTGGAGCATTTGTCAGACTCAGATTCTGAGGAAAGAGATTCTGAACAACCTGATCTGACTATTGGGATATTTCCGAATAATTGCGGACCAACTTATTTGCTATGTCCAGGAAAACAAGTAAGTTTAACTTTATTTTACCACCAGATCATATACAGGGTGATTCCTTCTCGATGGTAGATTATACGTTTATGGAGAACAGTTGATAAGACTTTTGGAAAATTTGTCTTTACATATCATCTGCAATTTCAATTTCAATTTATTTAATAATTATAAATATAGTCTGTCCACCGACAAAATCCTTGACCTGTTATTTTAATTTCAAGTAGTTTATTTTATTTTACAATGAAATAAGTTGGTACAATTGGAACGCACATCTTAATATATTTAAAATTTGACTGACAAATGATTACTTTAAAATATTGTGAAAATAACTGTATAAAACTAAAAAATGTAATCGAGTTATTTTATTAAAAAAAACGGTTTGTGTTAATATAAAACAAACAAGAGCAAAACACCACATACCAAAAAAATATAAAAAAGAACTATTTCTTACTTTCAAGGTTCAAGAAACTTCCCGCATTTATTATTATATTTATCAATATAACTTATGTATAAATACTTTTAAACCAGTACCTTTTGACATTATTTTTCTGTAGTAAAATCTAAAATCCATTATTTACCTATCGTGTGATATTTTACAGCTACTCCAGTTTTTAGTATATGTTTAGTACGATCCTTGTACCATATACGAGATGCACTTATCTACGACGAGATGGAATACAAACTTGGTAACTTGATGGTAACTTTATTGGTGTATAACACTTTCTGCCTGGGCATCGAGTATTAACTATAAACTGTGCTCTGGGTCTACAGTTAATTTTTCCTCGATTTTTCTTCCACTTGGCTTCAAAAAACACAAAAAACACGTTATAACATGAATCAAAATACATTATCTTCCAAAACGCCGGGTATTTGACATAAGTTGACACAAAATCATAATCTATAATTTGGCAAGACTTTGACAAGCCCCAAAAATCTAAAGTGAAAATCTAAACGTGAGTTCATACGCATCGGCGTCCGTTTGTCGTTTATCGTTCCGTCAAACCTTTGAATAAGAAGACTAAGGAAGGAGCTTAATGCTATCCATGTATTCATTGGGCGGAAAAAGCTCTCTAGGGTGGGGATCCTTGACAGTTCTGTTTGACGATTCATTTGACACATTTGAATTTGATTTGAAATTTTGTGGATTTGTCAGTCTTTACGGAGCTTATTTTATGTTATTTATTATTTATTCTACTACTGATAGTTGTATAAAGGTAGTAAATCTAGATGGAAATTGTGGCAGAACTTAAATTAACAGTGACATTATCGCGATTTATCGAAAAGACTCTAAAATAGTTGGTTGTGTAGCGTGCGGTAGATCTCGGCAAAAATTGAGTGAAATAATGGAACAACTTTTCGCTAGTAAGTGACTATATAATATACATACGTGTAGTAAACCGATCATTTATGAAATTCACTTAAATTAACTAAATTATATATTTTCTTGCATTTTAGCTTTTATTTACTACTTGTCAAAGATCAGATGTCAAAGAATTTTGATACGTTAATTTGACTTACCTGCTTCAGTAGCGTATCGGATGTTTGTGTTAATAAATACTTATTATAACTTATCTACTTTTATTAGAATTATATATTTTTATAACAATTTTAATAACTACCAACATTTATTCACAACGTAAAATAAAATAACAAATTATTGAGTCTACCCCACGTCTACTCTACATCATAGTTTTATATTTTTTAAATAAAATTAGAACGGCACTGATAAACCGGAATTGAAGTCGGCCATATTTGAGGCCCATCGCGGTGTACCTAATATTTTTGATATGCTCCTACCTTAGTCTTCTTATTCAAAGCGTCAAACTAATAAAATTGAAATATGATCTGTCATTTTTGAAATAACCAATAAAACTGGTTAAAAACAACAAGAGACGCATGACGGATTCGTATTTTAACCCATAGTTTTTTTAACCCCCATAGTTAATTTAAAAAATATTAGAAACTTTTTTAGTAAAATAAATAGATTGGTATGGGACGTCATCTGCATTTCTTCTGTCATCGTCTGTCGAAATCTTACCTGAGGAAAAAAACAGAGTATAACATTTACAAAATACAATATGATAAATCAAAATTTGATTGTGGTTACACAAACTGGTTGTGCAATACATTTCTGTACATTAAATTTATATTAAATCTAAATAAAAATATGTAACTTCTGCATTTCATTAAATATTTTAAAGTAACAATTTAACCACAGTAAGGCCACAAAATCAGCATTATTCTGAAATTATTAAAAAAATATCAAAATTTATTTAACGTCAAAGTTTATATTATGTTTTTAAGGAAAAAGATGCTTGGTTGTACCATTTAACGGTAGCAAGTGGTGGTGGTCCCAGTACGGGTACCCAATATGAACAACTGATTCACAAATTGATGGAGGTTGACGGTGATCCAAACTGCGTGCTTTGGAGACATCCTGTACTACTACACGTGCCTTGTACAAAAGATGGTGCTGTACCGTCTTATTTTCCACTAACCAGCCTTCCAAACGACTCATTGCAGGTAAGATAAACATAAAAAGACAGAGATGTATAAAAAGTGGAACAACTTTTTGTGTGGAACTACATCAAATATAAGCGATGCCAATTAAACTTTTAGTTACATAATAGAGGGCGCGATCTTTAAATTTATTGTTATCAGCCATGGAATATTCGTTGCCGGGCTGACTAACAGAAATCAGATATTTTGGTAACTCTGCTGTAAAAAAATGTCAAGACACTTATTTATTTATTTCTTGACATTGTCATTCGTTTTGACACTTTAGTTTTGTATTACGAGTTTTTGGTTTAAATCAATTGCGTTGTGATACTTTAAATTTAAATTTTTTTACTAGCAGACCTTGTAGTCGAACGTTGTTCTTTTTAGAACGTATTTTAGTGCGAAGTGTACAGGGTGGTAGAAATTGGTCTGTTTTAACAGAGAAAACCTGTTTCCTGACTAGATAGAGCAAAACCGACGTAGATGTCATGGGCTCGATTTCCGAGACACGTTTAATGGCATAAACCGCCTGTTGATATTTTCACTACCTACTGAGATACGGAGTCTTTTTGAATTTTTTACCATTTTGAAAATTGCCCATAACTTTTTTACTTCGCGGAATAATAAAATCTTGTAAAAACGTTCCTAATGCACTTTTTTAAGCACAATCCAGTGGCGTAGTCATTTTTTTTCTATACTGGCTGTTTTTGTCAGAAATAATAAAAAGTATAATTATTTAAATGGAAATCATAGTTGGGCTATGAACTTAAAAAAATGCTGACGTTTAACCCTTTCCAACGATATCAAGTTATTGGTATTTATTTCTAAGAGTGAGAGAAATATTAGGATTTTTTATCTTTGTATCGAAGCGGGACTTGATTTTGTGTTGACCTAGTTGTCTAATTATTTTTTATTGCAATTTAATATTCTATATTATTATTTATCTGCAAACTTAAAGACTTTTGAAAAGGTAAATCAACATTTTATATTAGTTTTACCAATTACAAATAAAACGCCATTAAATGGAGAATTTAGAGAGAATCGGATTGGAACAACGCAACAGCCTGCTAGGTCCTGTGATTTTGACTTCTGACTTCTTGCGACTTTTTTATGGGGGAAATTAAAAGATCTTATATATAAAGGAGGAACCATTGGGGCGAGAGAAAAATTGCAGAAGGCTACTAGGCAAGCTTTTGGACTTATTACACCAGTTCGCCTAATAAATCGCTATAACTCTGTGCGCAAAAGATGTTTATTGTGTATTCAACAAGGTGGTGCTCAGTTTAGACGATTTTTTTTAGAAAACTATATTCGTCACTCAAAAAATACGTTTTTTAGCTTTGTTCTTTGTTTATTGTATCGATTTCAATTGTAATTACTAAAACTAATATAGAATGTTAATTTACCTTTTCAAAAGTCTTTAATTATGCAGATAAATAATAATATAGAACATTAAATTGCAATAAAAATAATTAGACAACTAGGTCAACACAAAATCAAGGCACACTTCGATACAAAGATGAAAAACCTAATATTTGTCTCATTCTTAGAAATCTTTGGGTATCTCTCTTCGGATTCTTTGGGTATCTAACCCATAACTTTATATCGTTCGAAATAGTTAAACGCCAGCATTTTTTAAGTTCATCGCTAACTATGATTTCCATTTAAAAAATTATATTTTTTATTATTTCTGATAAAAAGAGCAAGCATAGAAAAAAACTCACTACGCCACTGGATTGTGCTCAAAAAAGTGCCTTAAGGACGTCTTTACAGAATTTTATTATTCCGCGAAATAAAAAAGTTATGGGCAATTTTCAAAATGGTAAAAAATTCAAAAAGACCGTATCTCAGTTGGCAGTGAAAATATCAACAGGCGGTTTATACCATTAATCGTGTCTCAGAAATCGAGCCCATGACATCTATGTCGGTTTTGCTCTATCTAGTCAGGAAATAGGTTTTCTCTATTTAAACAGACCAATTTCGACCACCCTGTACAAGATAGCTTATTTTTAGAAAATTTTGAATGGGAAAGCGGTAGTAATGACCCTTTATGTCCCTTCATTGCTGTTAAAGAGGTGAGTTTTATTGATGTAAATAAAACTGTTTATATATTTATAATTAATTTATTTTTGTTTCCTGACATATTTTGATTAAAAAGAAAATATGTAAAAGTCTGCAACGCTGTGCCGGTCAAGCTTAATCACGTGACTAAAAGTGTATTTGGTATGATTTACAGAATTGAACTTAAAACTGAAGGTTTAGCATAAACTATTTTTAAGATCACATATTTTTTATAGGCTGAAGCTATCAAGCTATTCAAAAGCTTACAGCTATTCCTCTCCGCTGCTGTAGACCAAGCAGGGATCGATTACCACGTGGTCTTGGCTCAGAACGCACTTCAGCAATGTTTAGACATGCCGGAACTTCAAGCAGAAATCATATGTGCCCTCATCAAGCAAACAAGCAAAAGCGTTCCTCTGCCTAAGCTAGGAGTCCAGGTATCCACACAAAAATTGCTTAAAAAGAGCGTAAGTGTGCTTCTTATAAGTATTTTTTAGTTTTTTTCAGTTTTTGTCATTGTATATATATTTCAATTCATCTCTAGATCCAGCAATTTTTTTTATTGTCTAAAATAGCAAGACGAAACAATTTTATAAAAAGATAAAAAAGGTTGCTGGTTTCTAGCTATATTTTTAAATATTAATTTATCAAGTAGTTTTATTATTTCTATTTTACTAGGTGTTTCAATAATCTTCGTTCCAGTAGAATACTTAAATAGCTTACGAACTAGGAAGTTTAAATTTTTCAATCTGGCAAATGGTAATATCAAAGATGACATATAAGTAATATATTATACCCGTCTAGTAATTATATTATGTACTGCTACTTATTAATTATTGATATTGAAACACCTAATTTTTTCAAATAAAAAATACCCAGGCTACATTAGATTGATGTTTAATAATAGGTAACTATATATAAAAATATTGCATGCCTGAATCATCTTAAACTTTGCCACGTTCCGTAGTACAAGACTTGTAAATATTTAAAAATTATAGTCGATGTTTTAGTTAAATATACAATAAATCGAAAAAAGAAACCACATCGAAGTGATCTTTGAAATATCAATTGGTAATTTCGTTGGAAAGTGACATTTTTAAGATAATTAATAAATTGCATATGAATGGTAACTTTAAAAAAAGTATATACTCTCTTTCATTGAAATATTAATATTTTATGAAGTGTATCCATCAATTTTTAATAAATTCCTCATCCAAACGCCTCAAGGATAATGGTCGATTGTAATTTCAAAGGTTACTATGATGACATATTTTTTTCTATCGATAGATATTTTTAGTTATCGTAGCACGTTGTTTTGTTAATCTATTTCATCATTTTTTGTCCCTGAGAAAGAATGTTGGTGTTTCCATTTTCTTATTCTGTCACCCTATGTTTTCATTTTATGTTTAATTTACTCTGTTATAGTTTAATTGATTTATGTATGACTGACTGTTCTATAGCTTTATAGTTGTAGAAAATCTCCTGTATGTTAAACATTTTCATACAAAATCACACAGCTTCAAAATAGTACTTTATAAAAACCGAGTTTTATCATAATTTTTAGATGTACGATTCACTTTTTCTTAGCTTGATAAAATTATAATTTTTTTCTTGCACAAGTTCTTTGTTTACAATGTAAATTTCATTACGACAATAATATAGTATTAATGTAACAAGATTTTAAAATTTGTACTATGACAAAATATGTTTTTCTCAAAATTTTTATGACCATAGATTAGCTTTATAGTTGTAGGAAATGTCTTATATGTTAGACATTTTTGTAAAAAGGTATAGTACTCTATAAAAACATAATTTTTTCATAATTTTGAAAATTACGATTCACATTTTCTACGGCAAAATTAAGATTTTTCTTGCTAAAGTAATAATCGCCAAAAATTCCATTTTTTTATGTTGTTATTATTAACAACTTTTTAAAAAATATATATTCATTATAACACATGCTCAAGAACCGCACTCTTTCCATTTGACAAATCATGCAATACATCAAAATCATTTTAAAGTAATCGCAAAACAATTTCCGATGCACGTGATCGACTTTGAGAGACAAGCGATGGCGACAGCGCTGCCAGATTGTGATGGATTTATGAGATGAACTTAATTAGTAAAATTAGGAAACAATATATTTATTATATCATTATTATTATTATCAAAAAAACTAACTCGCAGTAGAAATATTTAAATTTAAGGCAGCATCTAGTCGCTACAAGTCGAAATAAGTAGAAGTAACTTTAAAAGTGGTATAATAAAAATTTCAACTACTTACCAACTGCTTACCAATGAAACTTATTGCTTCTCTGACAGCAGTCAAGGGTAATAAAGGACCTTTATTGTCACGTTCTCGTTCAAAATAGTTTATCAAGAAATCTACAAGCTCTTTGCTTCGAATGTTTAAATACTTCGGTATATGTTCGACACACAATTTCAAGAAATGCAATATAAAAACTCGAAAACCTAGTTCTTAAAAGAACTGTTTGTGCTTAAAAGTACAATTTAAAAAAAAGGCTATGAAAATCGGCAAAAAAACGAGAATTAGATACTCTCATAGATTCAACAACAACACGATATTATACAAAATAATGACTGACATTACGATAATTGTCAAATAATAAACGACAATGTTGCTGATCACGGCGCAATATGGCCAACATGGCGATAATAAAAATAGAGCTGCTCGGTATCTTAAATTATACAACAAATTTAAACATTTTTGTCAAAATTTCATTTAGTCAGATTTATAGGTTTTATTCGATATGATTGATGATGTACATCGGAAAATGTTTTGCGATTACTGTAGATTTTTTTGATATGTTAAAACTTTCAAAAAATTCAAACAGTCTAATTCATAAAAATACATTTCCTTGACTTTATTTTCCGATTTCTACAATTTTGACGTTATATCACTCTCCATTATTGAGTAGATGCTAGAACTCAAGCTCCACAATTTATACACGAAATGCATTTAATTAAGGATGAAAAAAGTCATTCAGCTGTGAGATTGTGCCATTAGATTCATTAGTGCACCAGGGAAAAATTATTTACGCCACTACATCAAAAACTCTACGGAACTCAGATTTCACCTTTTCGATAAGTTATAAGGTAACCAAGATAATCAAAATACGAAGAGGGTCGTAATATACAACATTTTACTCTTCGCCCCAGTGGCGGCTCGTCAGGGTAGGCAAGGTAGGCGGCGCCTACCCTACAATTGTGTCAGAATTTAAGCAGTTTATTACATTACCTTATTTACTATTAATGTTGCCAATACACAAAAATACTGTTAATACACGATAGTGAGTGAACATTGTTATACATTTAGAAATAAGGTTTGCAGATATGTCTCAATTATTTTTATTTATCTATGGCTGATGCACAGAAATTTAAAGAATCCTATAAAAAAATTTCCAAAGCAAATTTCCATATCTTATTTAACAAACTTTTACCGCAATGTTTTTGACCAACATAAATTATTGAATAAATTGCGGGGGTATTAATAATAGAAATGATAATTTTCGATTATAAAAAATTTAAGGAGAATGATCCTGGAAATACATTTCCAGAGAATGGCAAATAGTTTGTTTTGATTGTTATTGCACATTTACAAGTACTTGGGCTGAGATACATTTTTCATGTTTGAAATGCATTAAAATTTACAGAAGAAATTCCATGAAATATAAACGTATATCGTCACTTGCCTTACTTTCATTCTAAATAGATATTTTCACAGCCCTTCAACAATCTTATGATTTTACTGATATAATAATAAATAACTTTTCTTTATTAAGATATCTACTAATTAATTTAATATATAATAAACATAATTATTCATTCCTTTTTTTATTAGTCTCGAAATATATATGTATATGAATAAGAGAATCTGTTTTTCTTTGTAAATTTAATTGTCTATACAATACTTACGAATTTTTAAGTTTGAGTAAATAAATAAAATAAAATAAAATCCTATGATGGTACTATTATGGTACTATTATCTATTATCTATCTTATTTATCAAAGTACTTAACATTAGTCATGGCCGGAACAGCGATTTTTTAATAACAGGTACAAGCTGTTTCAGTTGCAAAAGGTACCTGTTCCAAAAAACCTGTTCCAGTTCCAAACTGTTCCAAAACGAAAATTAATACCGTACTTGCGTCATTCTGATTCGGTTACTATTTTTCTTTTTAAATTTATATAAAAGAATATTTTTTGCTTAAATAATCAGAACTACTGGAGATTTTTCTGTTTTCTCTAAATTTAATCTACTATCTGTGTTGCTATATTACCAAGATACATATAATGTTTTTTTAACTAAAAATTAAAAAAAAAACTATCAAATTTTCGAAAAATATAAACTTTTCAAAAACATGTTTTCCCGAAAAAAACTCATGAGAATCGAAATATACCACCCCTAAAAATATGTGCACTTATTTAAGACCCACCCTGTATAAGCACTAATGAATATAGATTTATAATTTTGTTATATACTTAAAAAGTAAATTCTTGGAAGCAGTGGCGGATACAGAGGGGGGCCCATGGGGCCCGCCCCCCCCTCCTAAAATCTATAAATTGGGTTAAATATTAAGCTTGTTGGTGAAAAATGGCGCCATAAAAAGCATATTTTACATTAGTTTTTATTTCGGCCTCCCCTAAAATAAATTCCTGTATCCGCCCCTGCTTGGAAGAGTTTATTTTTTTATATTTACATATAATACAAAACAATAACCGACTGTTCTTACAATGTATTTTTCAAAAAAAAACTATAATGCGATAATTATATTGCATTTGGCAACATCGCCAGCATTTTTTTTATTTTTATAATATATATATATATTATAATTAAAAAAGTTTCTTACCTATTCTGTTTCTGTTTACATTAAAAAAAATATTTAAAAAAATTATTATAAATTTAAAATTTATAATAAAAATTTAGTTGCATTTTAATTAAATATTTTAAATACCGGCAACGGCCACACTTTTTTTTACGCCCCTGTATCCCGATAACAGATAACACCTGAACGGTCGCGTCCGCTAGACTTTGGCTAGACTAGTGAAACCGATATACGACCTCGATTATATTAACTCAAACCAGTTCTTTTTACTTAACTGTTTCAACGAGTTCCAAGTTCCTAACTGTTCCAAGCCCTAAACTGTTCCAAGTCTCAAACTGTTCCAAGTCCCACTGTTTCGGTTGGGACTTGAAACAGTTTAGGGCTTGGAACAGTTTAGCGCTTGGAACAGTTAGGGACTTGGAACTGTTTGGGACTTGGAACAGTTTCGGACTTGGAACAGTTAAGTAAAAAGAACTAATTTCAGTTGAGAAACGAGGTAGTATATCGCTTTAACGACGCGGTCGCTTGGCGTTATCTTATCGAGATCGAGTACGAGTGCACTAATATAGTGCATAGACGTAAAAAAAAACAAGGGTGACGGTTTTCGCAGCGTTGCCGATATTTGATATATTTAATTAAAATTCAACTAAATTTTTATTATAAATTTTAAATAGGAAATCAATATTTAAAAATACAGAAAGAAAAGAATATCTAATATTTACTATTTTATATATGTAAAATAGTAAAATACATATATAAAATAAAAACAACTTACATTCCTAGATATTAAAGTCCTATATAATACACAAATCAAAATCTATTCTTGTAATAATAAAAATTCAACAGATCTATAAATATTTTACCCTAAATTAAACAACTAAACAAATAATAACAGAGATAGACTAAAATATTTTGGTTTGTTCAAAGAATACCGACAAGCTCAATAGTATTATAATGTCTAATTACAAATTAACACGAAGAATCTTGGAAGGAATTGTTAACGTTTATAAATAACAATTGTTTTAATTTGTTTGCACTAAGTCTTCTTTGCCGATCGGTTAAAACAATTCCCGCTTAATTATGATGATTGTTGTGTACTGCACCAAGTAACTCTTGATCTAGATAATAATTCGGTAGCACTAATTAGCCAAAACAAATAAATTTAAAGTGAATTCCGTATACCTACTACCTATTTCAAAAATTATCATGTCTATAAAAAAGGTCGTCGCCTTTATCATAACAAGCGGCTCCTTTGTCGGTATGTATACATTTTTTACTCAGAGTTTTTTTTTAATGTAAACAGAATAGGTGAAGAGAATTTCTTACCATCAAAAAAACGTACTGGCGATGTTGCCAAATGCAATATAATATATAATTATCTCATTTTGAAAAATACACTATTAAGAATCTAGTATCACAAATATAGTAGATAACATAATTTAAACAATTCCAAGAATTTATTTCTTTAAGTATTTAAGTTGCAGTGTTTTGAAACAGCTGGAACAGTTGGAACTGGAACTGGTATAGGATAGCACATAAACCTGTTTCAAGCCAGTTCCAAAACAAACCTGTTTCGAAAATAACAGATCCTGTTCCAAAGCATCATCACTACTTAAGAATTAGCATCTGAGGAGATAAAAAAAACTTATACTTGTACATTATTTCATTACGTTGAATGCTGCTATTTTTGCTTTAGTTTTGTCCTAAATATTCTTGACTTATGTTTTTAACCCAGATATAACATATATTTACGAACTGGGTTAGGGTATTATGTATATTTAGGGGGGGGGGGGCAAATAGATGCAGCTAAAAACTTGTCCCCTACCCAGTCCCACGGGTCACGAGCCGTCACTGCTTCGCCCTGTATTTCAGGAACTAAGAAGACTAGGACAAATATGTGTATAGCATCTTCAGTTTCATAAAAAGTAGCACAGTCATGTGAAAACCGAATCTTTGTATCTTTACTCTTTACTTTACTAAACTAAACTACTTTACTAAATAAAAAACGAGAAACCTCATAAAACACAAAAAAAGGGAAACCCCCCGTATTTAGTTTTAGTATCTACTTAATAACGAAGACAACTTAATAGCATGATATAACAATCCGAAACTACGTAATTGTTTAAAGCAGAAAATAAATACAGGAGTGCCATCCATATAAGAGTTTTTTTTTAAATAGAACTTTGTCTGTCACTGTCAAACACACACTGCTTCTTCTAGCTCATGCATATTCTGCATCAAGCAACTTGTTAAATACCTTCTAGATCTCCGTTTAGTTGTTCTCTTTAGTTGGCAGATGTGTTTAGGGTTAGAACACGCCCCATTTGGTAAGTGACATCAACCGAAACACCAATACTCTTTTCAGCAATTGCTACTATGCGCGACGCAGAGCTTGTTCTCGTGCGAAACGAACACGCCAAGCATTAACAGTACAGCTTCTGACGATCAAATCGCCTTGTCCAATCTACAGGCCTCCCAGGAGGAGAAGTACAGGGAGCACAAAGAGTGCTACAAGGAGCACAAGGATCCCAAAGGTCCTCCGAGCTACACTTTGATCCAGGGCTGGCAGCTGCTGGCACTGGCCGTTAGTTTGTTCGTTCCGAAATCGTCGAGACTGTTGTGGTTTTTGAAGTTTCATTTGCAGAGGAATGCCGATAACAGGACGGAGTGCGGGAAGTATGCTGCGTATTGCGAGAGGGCGTTGGAAAGGACTATTGTGTCAGGTAATAATCTAAAATGTAAATAATGTCTACAGTATGTCCCCGTATTGTTTTGGTTTGGTTTGGTCCCCGGGTTTGTTTTTACCAGAAGAAAACTTTTTTATTATTGACTAGTTGAAGCCTGGCGCATCCGCCACGACATAAGGAAAAAAAATACTTTTTTTTTTAATTAAATGAAAAACAAAAAATCCGGCGACGACAGTTTTTAGAAGAACCAATTAGCTACCTTTTAGTAAAAAAAGCAACTTTCTAGAGCAAGTCGTTACTTCAGTAGAGACGACACAGATAAACATTAGCATTTTATATATGTAGATTTTTGAGAGAAATGCATTCTTCATAAAAAAATTTGCTTATTCTAAAACGGTTAATCTCGTTTATACTTTCCAAAATTTTCATCGCATTTTAGAGGAAATTAAAGGAGACATGAAAATATGGTTGAATTTTTTGAAGTTGAAGTCCTAAAAATGCAAAGGCGTTTCTATGTTAATATAATTTCGATTTCATTCGTTGATAGTTGGTTATTCTTAGCGTTCTTCGGGATTTTGTTATTACTGATTCTGAACCGTTCTAGAAGCCTATCTGCACAGCTTGCGCAGATGAAAAAATTGCCGCATATTTCCTTCTGAGCATGCGTATTACAGTAATAGCACAGTTCAGAATCGGTAATAAGAAAACCCGAACTAACACAATTAGTGTAATAAATTAGTGGTTTCAATTACACTTTATACTTTTTAGTCTACGATCATTTACAATGTCTAAAAACACAATTAAAATTAATAAAATATCCTAGCAACAGCTTGCGGTAGTCTGTTGTATCCATAGAGAAAGCATATTTAGCTTATAAAACAATAAACTTTTGATTTCTAACCAAATTTTTTTTTGACGGATGATAATCCATAGCCAAAATGACATTCCTCGCAAATTTTGAAGTATAATTAGTGGAAAAGTCAAAAATTTGTTAACTTTTTCCACTAATTCAAAATTACTACCACTAATTATGACGTTCTGAATGCTTACATTAAAATTAGGTGAACAAACTTCTACGGCTAATTGAAACTACTAATTTATTCCACTGATTTCGAGGTTCTGAATGAAGCTTAAGAAAAACTAATTTTGATTAACATATCTCACATTACGATAACTATTTTAACCCTTCCCGTAGCATTGAATCCAATAAATGTTATGCTTCGCCTTTTAAAACAGCAAAACATATGTCGTTAATTAAAACTCTATCAATAAAACCTCTCTAGAAATGAAAAACGAAATTATATTACCACAGACATCAAAAAACAAAATGTCAATAATAAAAAAATCCTCTTTTAAAGATGATCCGGAGGTATACTGTATATTTTTGTGGGTTGTTCACCTAGATTATATATAATATGATATATGGAGGAACAACCTTTACTGGGAAAAAAGTTGTGTAATTCGCCACTGAAACAGTAATTTAAAAAAAAAAAAGCTTTTTATTTGATTCTAAGTCCTAAAAAAATTGCACATACGTTCATTGGATGTGCAATTTTTTTAGGACTTAGAATCAAATAACTTAACACTTCAGGGTATATTTATAAGCAAAAAAAAAATTAAAACGATTTTTTTTATTATCTAATTTAACTGTGTATAACGAAAATAATAAATAATGAAAAAAGTTTCAAACTGTCTATATGATGTCGTGTTTTACTATAAAAATTGTTAAGAAAGGTTTTGTTTAAACTAATTATATGATTTCCTGTCGATGTAGCAACACGGGGCGTCGAATAAACTGCGAGATTAGATGCCGACGGTTCTCAAAATGCAAGATTTATTTTTAATTTGGATGTTATACAGGTTGTCCCAGGCTGAGTATGCATTAGAAATTTGTAGCGAACTGCAATATCTAGATCGGAGTTTTTTAGCATATCATTGTTTTACAATCTATCGATTTAAAGTATTTTCAATAGGGCGGCACTGTCGGAAACCCCGGAAGTTGACAGCAACTTCCTTATTTTAAATGGGTGCCCTCTATTTTTTGTTACATATTTTAATTCTTTGTAAAATTTTATGAATTTTGATATTAAACACTAACATTAACCGTTTTTGAGGAAAAAAATATTTATTATTTTTAGACGAAAAAAACTGCCTGTCAAAAAGATGTGTATAGCCTAAAAGTCAAATTTAGTGATTACCACAGCCACTGTGACATAAAGAGATGACATGTGGCTATTCGTTTCAAAAATTCATATAATAATCTCTGTAATAATGGCCGTAGCTGTCATGGAATTGAGCGATTGAAAAATTTTCGTATATCATTTCATCTTCAAATGGAAACCCACTTTTTTTGTTTCACAAGTGAAAAATTCCTACACCTAAAATAAATCGTTTCAAAGCGTATACTTTTCTTGATTTTATCTAGCTTCCTTTGACATTAAGTGTCAAACAGTCAGGAAATTTATTTTCATATCTGTCAGGAAACTCTGCTTATTTGAATTTCCTATATTATAAATACAGCCTGCCTTAAGTGTTTAAAAGGTGCATTTATAAAAATATATCTCGTATCTTTGCTTTCTAGTGATAAATCTAATAGTTGATATTATTAATAATACCGAATGATCGAAAAAAATTGGCGCAAAGTTGGCTTGGAAATGATGATCGATGACATGGTCAGATCTATTGTTTTACATCACTTGACGTTTAAAGTCATAGGTTACTGGTTAAAATCAAGAAAAATATATGCTACTTTACTACTACTACTACTACTACACTTGTACTTATTTAAGAGACTTTAAGAAACGCTTAGAACTTAACTTAGGCTAATCTCCCTCAATGCCATTTTTCAGGTGCACGCGAACTGAAACCGAGCCGTATGGAGGTCCTCAGCATCCTCCTCAAGAACCCTCAACATCACTCCTTACCCCACTCCATGCCCGTCCACCTCCTCAACGGAACCTACCATATCACCAGTTTCGACGGCAGCACTACCATCAAGGAGTTCCAAGAGACACTAGCCCACGAAATCGGCTGCAGAATGAATAACGGCTTTGCCCTGTTCAGCGACGATCCCATAGAGAAAGACTTGGAACACACCCTTGACCCCAGTGCCAAACTATGTGATTTGATCTCAAAATGGGAGATAGCCCTACGGGAAAAGGGACTGGGGAAGTTCGAGAACAGTAAGGTGATAAGGTTGACGTATAAGAACAGGCTGTGGTGGAAGAATAGTGCGCGATTGGAGACGGATAAAGAAAGGCTGTTGCTTTGTTATCAAGTTAATAAGCAGGTGGTTGCTGGAAGATTTCCACTAAGTAGGGAACTTGCTTTGGAGCTAGCTTCTTTGATGGCACAGCTAGACACAGGAGACTGTTCACTAGGTAAGCAATATATTTAAAAGAAAATGTTATCTTTAAAATTACGACGTTTCGCATAGCAATCTACCGAGTGTTTCTCAAAAGTGGCTCACCCCTATAATTTTTCTATTTTTTCAGATAAAAAACGAGATTTGGCATGTTAGTATATTACATAAATCAGGATTGATTGACATATTCAATTCTTTTCGGTCACTTCCTGTTCTACCGGAAATGACTACAACTTTTGATTTTTAAATCGCACCCTCGATATTTTTTTTTACTTTATTCGATAGAAAAGGACACTCTGAATAGAATGACATATAATATGTCAACTTTTGACATTTTCGCATACGGTTTATTTGAAATTGTAACATGCGATTCATCACGACAATTTGAGTCGAAATACCAAGTATATGGTATCAAATTATTCGTAAAAAAATGCATTTTTTAAATATGCTATGGGTAATATGCTAGGGCTAATCGGGGTAAAGGGAAACTAGTGGTAAATGAAAACACCTCAAATTATCTATGCAAATATCCCGTTTTTAAATTGTAAGTATGTCTGTTGGTAGCAGTGGAAACACTGTTGTCAAAATTTGTATTGTGTCCTAGCGGTGAATGGTTAAAGTGAATGTAGGTTGATTTAGATTATTTACTACAATAAAATTTATCTACCATTTTTACGAAAATCTTAAATTAAATTATGGTAACCAAAGGATCTGTTGAGACTTTGATTTTGACTTTTTTGCTGTCAAATTAAAACACGAACTATGTTGTCAAATTGATTATATTGATCGGATGAAAACTCAGACTTGTTTTCATTTACCCCGTGCATACACCGCGTTGAGGAAAATGGAAACACATGTTTGGGCAATGGAAAACATGTTTCCTTTTACTTCAAGTCAGTCCAAGGGTGCCAGATCTCACGATTTTGTATCAAATCTCACAAACTCACGATATGTGCGCAGGATCTCACGGTTTTTTACATTTTACCAATTAAAAGACATTGCTTTCAGAAATACTAAAATATCTGAGTTACTGACTAAAAAGCGAATTTCCTATTCATGAGCTTATTAAAATTCATTTACCCCATGGTCACCTCAATTGCTATTCATAGCGAAAATCAAGCTGTTTTTAGAACATCACAAATCTATTTTTCCAAGCTCCTTTATTAAAAATTAGTGTTTTTCTGTGGCACCCTATAGATTTAAATTTAAAATAAAAAATATTTTTTAAGCGAAAATGTTTTCCGGTGAAACAGGAAGTGACCGAAAACAATTGAATACGTCAGTGAATCCTAACTTATGTCATATAATAATATATCAAATCTAATTTTTTTATTTGAAAAAATAATGAAGTTATAGGGGCGAGCAACTTTTGAGAAACACCCAGTATATAATTTAAACAGGCATGAACTGGGGGTAATCATTCCAGTATGAAAATTGTATACACCCGTTAGATTCTATCACAACTCAGTTTTCTTTCAATATTCAATATTTGATATCTAGGAGCTAGTAAAACTGGAACCAGCCACACTTTACCCACCCAAGGAAGTTCAAACTTGAAGCAAAGTCCAAAATCCATCGTCAACGGTACTTTCAGTCCTCCACCTGTATTACAAAACTCATCTACCCTCAGTGCTTTGAATAACGTCCATGGAATACTGACAGCCCACTCAAATCAAGCACTTAATGCCATAGATAAGTTCTATCCGTATAGGTATAGGGATCAGCTGAGCCAGGAAGGATTGGCTGAACTTCAGTCTAAACTTCTGGCAAAGTGGAGGGCTCTGAAAGGAAGGACACAGCTGGATTGTGTCAGGATTTATCTGACTTGTACGAGAAAGTGGCCATTTTTTGGAGCTACTCTGTTTCAAGTAAGTAAACTCAAAGCTTTCCTTCTAGAGATTACTTTGGAGTTTCCCATATTAAAATTATAACCTAAAAACTCAAAATTCGCAGCGAATATTCGCAAAAATTAAATCAGTTTCCCGCTTTCCAGATTTTAAATTATGCGAATTCGCGAAATATTAAAACAACTTCCTGTTAATTTTGTCCCCTCTGTATTTTTTTGAAATCGCCCAGTAATAACAATATTCGCAATTCGCGTGTATAGGCTTGGTCCATTCTCCGCCGGTGTTGCCTAGGGATGTACGATTCAAATCGTTTTTAATCGAAGATCGATCTTTTTACCAAAGAAATCGATTAAAATCGATAGATTTTTTTTAAACGATCTTTTGATTTAATCGGTCTTTTTTGCAAAATCGAAGATCAATATACAGTTTTCTATTATTTGTTAAAATAACAAGAAACACTTTAGTTTTGCTTGAATATTGCTTGAATATCTAACAATAAATTGAAAAATTAATTGTATGTGCTCGCTATCGCATGCGTCGATGTTTGTTTATCACTTTGATATCAGGTGTCATATTGTTGTCGGTGATTCACATATTTTTATATTTTAGATACCGCAAAATATCCTTTGATTTTAACTTCTTTTAGAAGATGTTCATAAAACATTTATTCACTCGGTGATTAAAAAAACTATACCATTAATATTGCAAATTATATTTTATCCTCTCATAGTATATGTCTATTTAATTTTTTTATTATGTAACGAGCACTTTGTTTACTCACTTGTTTCGTCGAACTGCTTGAAAACATTTTTGCTATTGATCAAATCGGTGTGAGAAACTATGAAGCTATAAAATGTTGTTTCGGGAGAGTTGAATATCCGGTAAAGTTGAGTTATTGAATGTTATTGCACCCAACAACGTCCTAATTACGCTCTGCTTTACAAGTTAGCATTTTATCGCCAATTTTATTAACATTTGAAATTGTCAAACACAACATGACGCTTAGTTCGAATTCTTTTTCGCTTATTTTTTACTACCCGAAATAGCGTTACACCCATGTTACACCACACAAACCTCGTACCTCGAGTGTTTTATAATCTCAATAACTGATGCCCCAAGTAGCATTTTCACGACTTGCGACCACATGTTTACTAAACACAACGTTGGATTAGTTACAAAAAATAGTTAGCTCCCTACCTTGGGTATTAAAATAAATTTAAACGTTTTTATAACGTTGTGCCGACGTTGGACTAGTACTACAGCAAAGTAGAAGCTTCTGCGACGTCGAATAAACGTTGTCTTCTAACCTTTTTTGCTTAAGTGATCTTTAGGTGATTCGGACAACGTAGTTACAACGTTGGACAATATATAGTTTTCCGACGTCAGTTTCAGGACCTATTCTAACGTTATGCAAACGTCGTTTGTTTTACTAATTCCAACGTTGTTTATATTTCCTTATTCTTACGTTGGTAGGACGTCGAGTCACTACCTTTTTGCAACTGTATTGAACCATAACCTTAAATCTTAAATTTTCACTTCATTGTTCTGTTCAGTCAGACAGTTCAGTGCTGTTTTTGTTTTTATAAAAAAACTTAATTAAAATGGGACATAAGAAAGGTACATATAAAACTAAATTTAAATATACATCGACATATATTACCGATAATTTATCCACTCCCTCGTTTATTTAGATTATAGAGTGCGGCACAAGCTAGACTCTAGGATGACTAAATTAGGCAATCTTGCGACGAGTATACTACCTGTTAAGGCCGAACTGCGACTTTATTAGTCCAGTATGCGACTACTCGAACTACTCCATCTTAATCTCCAAACAACAAAGTGAAAGCCGCCATGTTGTTAAATAAGAAAATGTTTCGTTCCTAAAATAGCAATTCCTGCTTTTTGAATACATTAACTTGAAATATTTGATCCTAAAAAACACGCGGAAACAATTTTTTCGACTGCGAATAAATTATTCTCATTTTACTAAAAAAAAAATTCAAGAAAATTTTTAAAACTTCTTTAATTTTAAGGCCCATTGGTATTTTTCAAAGTAGAAACAATACATTTATCAATAAAGTTGTTTGCGTTTAACTTTTATGCCTTGGGTAACGAGTTACAGAGTCGGTTAAAGTATATCAATAATTCTGATCTTCAAACATCCTCCACACTTAAATACTTTTGTTTTGTTTTCCTTCACTGCCATCTGACATATGTCTCTAACTAAATCATAAAAATAATATTTTTACTATAATTATCCCAATTTAGGATAAAACGCGACTTAGACGCCATATTAGTTTTGTATTTCTGTGAATTAGGATTTTAAACAACGTTGCAGTTTGTACTAAATTAGGCTTCTAGCCAACGTCGGTATCCAACGTCGTTTCGACCCAAAAATTATTCTCCAAACTAGTGCAGGCGCGGCGTGAAGTACTTAGCAGAAATATCTAATTTCTGCCGTATACAACGCCGCGATCGGAACTTGTTGAAATCAACTGAAATGCACCAAGCTTATATGAACCATAAACCAGAATCACTAATTATTTGGTATACCCTACTTTATAATTTTAATACGCTAAAAAAATCGGACGCCACTGATCAATCGGAAGTTTAAGATAGGTTAGGTTAGGTTACAAAACTTCTTTGCGGTATCGCCTACTTTTTCTATAAACCGCTTAGTTAGTTTTTTTTATCCAAAGGATACTTATTACTCAAATATTTTCATTCTTTAGGCAAAATTGCGTCAACCTGAATCCCCAATGATGTGGCTGGCTGTCAACGAAGACTCAATCACCCTCCTAGACCTAGCGACAATGCAACAACGTCAACGATACCCCTACACCAACGTTCTCACATTCGGTGGCTGTCAGGAAGATTTCATGCTTGTGGTCACTCAAAACGAGCAACAGCATTCGCAAAAACTCATCTTTTCACTCAGCAAACCAAAAATACTCGAACTAACACTCCTAATAGCGGATTACATGAATCTGTTGATAAATAATCCAGGCACTCCACTGCTTGGTACATTAAGTAGAGGTACTATGGTGTCTGTGAACCAATCTGTGGTGAATCAGTCGATAATAAGTCAGGCTTTAGGCAACCAATCACAACCGGATATTCTGAAATCAACTCCTGATCATGGGGTGCAAAGATCAGACTCGAAACGTCGTACTCACGTTGATTCCGGGCTGGCGTGATATTCTGTGGAGTGTATCAAATGTAAATGATTGTGAAGACGAACTAGTCATAAAATATATGATTAGAGTTACTAAGTATGAGAGTGGGGGTAAAGATTAAAGATTAAGAAGAACGTGCTTGGATTTTATACTGCCACCTATCTTTTATCTAAGCATATAAAATTAACATTCGAATTATTAGAAATTTCGCATAAATAGTCTGTCCAGCGAGAGAATATAGTGCGTCTCACGTAACTATTCCTCGTTTCGACATTTCTAATTGTGTATGGTAATCGCAAAAGTTGCCACACACCTGTTGTCATACTGTGACTCAAATGAAAACTACCTTATTAGCAGTTTATACAAATGTAATCCACTATTCCTAAAAATATTTCGAGGTTTCCATTTGAAACAACTTTGTATTTTATAAGATATGCTGCCAGGTAATTCTCAAAATATGTCTAATCCAAACATATTTTCATACCTCATGAAAGTTGTAAAGACTTTTCAGCCATCGGTCAACGTTACGTCATCATTATATGTCAAATATGAGTTTTAGGGTGTGTCTGAAATCAGTCATATTGTTTAGAAAATATTAAGAAGTAGTTCCGTTTTTTCCGGCATTCGTTAATTTTTTCTTGAACTCTTCATCAGTTATGATTCCTTTAGTTCTAATCCTTTGCACTGTTGAAATTCCTATTTCTAAAGCCAAAGCCAACTCGCTATATTATTTAAAAACAACAATTTGTATTTTACATCGGAATATTACACCTTTGCATTGTACTTACTTCATATACGGCGTCCACGGACAAGAATGTTCTACCAGCGTCTCTTTCACGAGAAAAATAATTTATAAGCTTAGCAATGAGCTCTTGTTCATTTTTATTGAATCTTTCAGGCATTTTTGTAGTAAAAAAATTGAATTGTGTTGACAGCAACAATCGATTTTTAATTTTGACATTGATCGATGTCCGTCAATAAAATTATATCCCCAAATCAAACGACAATGACTAAAAAAATAATATGCAGTAATTTACGAAATGCCGCAATGACGTCACCAATCTCTTTCATCTGCATGTCAAGTGATTGAGAGAGTTCGACAATATATGACGTGAAGCTGAATGATGGCTGAACATTCTATAAAACGAATACTATAATATATATTTTTTCATTCAGTGGATTTACCCTAAAATTTGCAGTCCAAAAATAACATGTCATAATTTATATTCCAGTTGTTTCTGAAGTATCACCATTTTTAATCTACTTAACTTTAACTTTTTTGCATATCCAGGGTAAATCGAAAAACAATGGTGTATTTTCTGTCTTATTTCAAATAGATTATTTCCCTGTACTTGTGTAATATCTAATTTAACTCAGTTTTGAACAATTATATTCTAATGTACCAATGTACCAAGGTGGCCAACTAAGAATGGACGCCGGCTGTATCTCAGAAACTACTTATCGTATAACTTTGGGAAAAAAATTCTGACAAGTAAATCGACCAAGAGAAATCGCTGGAAATTATTTTTAAGTTCGAAAAATGTCCGCTAAGGGGCCTTTCTCTCATAGCCAATCAGAAAACAGGGTTTTTCTCAAAAATATGCAGGTGAACAGGTATTTTAAATATTACTATTGTAATCATCGAGAAATTTGTATTTTTTTTGATATAGAGTATTTTGCTCTATCTCATAGAATAAAGTAGTGGGGGAAGGTTAAACTTGCTTTTTTTAAAATAAGGATAACTCTGGTTTAGGTTACCAAACCAAACAAACTGGGGCTCGTTTAAAAGAGCTTTTCTTCCATAATGATCTCCAGTATAAATTTTGTTTCCGTATTTTTTTTCGTGGTAGCTAGAGGGCGCTGTTTGACATCATAACAGATATTGCGCTTTTGCATAACAAATTTAAATAGGAGACTATATTTCTCTTTGCACAGTTAAATAGAGCACAACATTTCCAAAATATCAGCACCAAACCGCAACTTTCTTTTTTCAACTTTCTTTCTTTTTTTTCATCTTCTCTCTAACCGGAGATATTAAGACATCAAATCATGTTAGGCTGCCGCTTAGGATTATATAGTCTAAAAATTATAGTAGTAGGCTAGGAAACAAAAAGAGGTAAATTGGTTACGTCAAAATATCAAAACATATATTGTAATACCATTTAGTTGTTATTTATCCATGTTTGTTCTTGATTCGACCCCATAAATTAAAACCCAGTCATATTGAATCCGACGACCTAGCTGGCCATGGAAATATGACGCTCCAGCGTCTCTATCTACTAAAGTAAGTGGTATCCAAGAAGCCCCACACATTCATAGCAAAATAAGCGGCACAACTGCACTAACTGCATCAACTACACCAACGGCAATTCATTTCTTAAGAAATAAAGGATAGTTCATTTCATTCAGTTAATTAGAAAAGTCCAATCATTCGCCATTCTCCATCCTAGAATTCCTGCCTAAACATTTACCGACCAACGCTCTTGGTGCTGAACTATTTGCATCAAGGGTAGATTTGGACCAGTAGTGCATATTGTTAAGATTTGAAGTGATAATGAAAAGTGACAAGTGAACCAAACGACATAAACTTTATAATATAATAATAAATAACTCAAACAACAGGTAAAACACGAAAACAAGTGAAATCAAGGACGAACTTGGCCTAAATGACATACATGAAATAAACTAAACGACATACATGAAATAAACCCCTAGTTTTCGGCCATACGAAATTCGGCTGTTTTCTGTTAAAAGCAATATGGCGGCACAAAATTGCTAGAAATTTTAATAAAATTATTGATTGTCCGACTTTAGAACATTTTAATCTGAGAACTACCTACGTATAATTACCAAGAAATTCGTAAAAATTATATGGATGGATGATAATGTTACATAAACATGTTTAAATATTTATGACGTGATTTTTTTAAGAAAACACCCGAAATTCGGATGCATGAAAACTGAACTTAAACGTTTTGATATTTTGACGTATCCAATTTACCTCTTTTTGTTTCCTAGCCTACTACTATAATTTTTAAACTATATAAAGGATAATACTAAGCGGCAGCCTAACATGATTTGTTCTCTTAATATCTCCGGTTAGAGAGAAGATAGAAAGTTGCGGTTTGCGCTGATATTTTGGAAATGTTGTGCTCTATTTAACTGTGCAAAGAGAAATATAGCCTCAAATTTAAAATTTTTATGCAAAAGCGCAATATCTGTTATGTTAAACAGCGCCCTCTAGCTACCACGAAAAAAAATATGGAAACAAAATTTATACTGGAGATCATTAAGGAAGAAAAACTCTTTTAAACAAGCCCTAGTTTGTTTAAATCGGGTAACCTAAACCAGAGTTATCCTTATTTTAATAACACCAAGTTTAACTTTCCCCCTCCACTTTATTTTATGAGATAGAGCAAAATACTCTATATAAAAAAATACAAATTTTTCGATGATTACAATAATAATATTTAAATTACCTGTTCACCTGCATATTTTTGAGAAAAACCCTGTTGTCTGATTGGATATCAGCGAAACGCCCCCTAGCGGAGATTTTTCGAACTTGAAAATAATTTTCAGCGATTTCTCTTGGTCGATTTACTTATTATAATTTTTTTCCCAAAGTTACACGATAAGTAGTTTCTGAGATACAGCCGGCGTCCATTCTTAGTTGGCCACCCGGTATATTAAAAAAATATTTTAAAATGCAAGCTTACATTGTCTACATATTTAAAAAATTATGTAAAAATTTCTTAAAGAAAATCTCATATAAAGTATGTCTAACTAGTCAGGTAATAATTTCGACAGGCGACATCCTGAAAATGACAGAAAAGACCATTTGCCTCTAATTTAAAACGAACAAGCTGAACTATCGATCTTAGAAATTCTCTCGTTGGACAGAATATAGGGTTTTCTGGGAATACTAGGTATCCCCTGAAGATTCTGTAAGCCTAAATTATTATGCATAATATTTCTGATTATGATTCTCCACGACATATGAAGATAATAATTAATTTGAGCATAACGTTATTTATGTTAAGCATAAGCTACAAATTACATCATCAATGTCATAAATTTTTTATGATTTTTTTCCATGCACACCCTTACAGATAAATAAATAAAAGTTTAATATCGTCTTCAGTTTTAACCAATTTTTTCTACTTTGCTTGGTTATTTACTATGTATTAACATCGATTTTTATTTATTTATTTAAAAGTGCTAAAAATTATTGTAGATGACATACCTACATAGATTTTGTAAACACAGTGTTGTATTTTGACAGTCTGTATATAGTTATCTTAGGTAGAAGTGCTCGATTTTAGTTTTAATTTTAGAAAAAAACGAGTACCTATAGTCATAGACCAAAAAATATAAAAACGTATTATAATTTATTTTATTTGTTATTTATATTTTTAACGATTTAAAAATTATTACCACTATGATATTAAAAATAGTAGTATGATATTGTAATATATTTATATATAAATATATAAAATAATCGAATGTAGTGTTTGATTTTTGGACTTTTTTATGTATTTTCTTTGGAAATTGTAACATTTTTATAAAAATATAACGAATAATGGTTTTTATTAACTAAAAATTCCTTCCAAAATTATTTAATTATGACATTTTTTTTGATTTTTGGATAACATCTGTTTGATCCATAAAAAAATATTTAAAAAATCAGAACATAAACTTGGATAAAGACAAATTTTATATATGTCATAAAACAGATACAGAGGGTTTTATGTCTCTTTGAAATAGATGAGAAAGTTACAACATCAAGTTTTAACTCATCCTGTCTATATCATTCGATATAGTGTATTTGTTTATTAATAAACTTGGGTTTGAAAAGAACACTATTCCAATTAAAAAAGAAGTAAAAATAAGTAAACTAATTTGGAACTTTGTAACTTTGGCAGACCTCTTTAACTGTGTTAAAGATTTTGTCTAAAAATGGATATATTTTAAAAACCAGTTGTTAGATAATATGACAAAATAGTATTTTTGGAACTTGAATTTCATGGCAAATCCACTGAGCCAAAAAATATACAGGGTGAGCCTTAAATAACTTGCAAATATTTTCAGGGCTAGTATATTTTCCTTTTACCGTTTTTCGAATAAGTCCAAAATAACCGAGTTATTTTACTTTGAAAATTTCCATAAAAATGATTTTTTGCTTAAATTTTGAGGACCCCTAGATCTTTTCTGTTTTTTTTTCTAAGTTTAATCTACAACCTATGTTTCCATATTATCAAGAAATTATGTTTTTAACTAAAAACAATTCCAAAAATGTTTTCAAAAAATTTCAAGTTTTAAAAAAAAATCGCGAAAAAAACCTTTATCGTGTTTCTGGGGTCTAAATGTACTACCCTTAAAAATATTTGCACTTATTTAAGACTCACCCTGTATAAACATTGAATATAAATAAAATATATTTGAATTACAACCTATACTTTGTATCTCTGAAAATATTTATAAAATGTGCACTACCATTGCCCGCATATTGAATAAAAAACATTGGATCAAACCAAAAATCTCATATAGACATTTTTCGGAACACTGAGTCGCCCTGTATATCTTAATTTGATATAGCTAATAGAAATTTTAAGAATATTTATATTGTGATACTTAAATATAATTGATACAGCTAATTAATAAAAAAAATATATACAGGGTGTTGTAAAAAGTGTCAGTTTTTTTTGGAAATAGACTTTTTAAAATACTGGATACATGTAGAAAAAGAAAACACAAATTCACCACAATATGCGCGTTTTACTAATCACGTTAGCATATTTCGCAGATGATTAAAACTAAACTACCATCTCAAAACCGAGCGTTTACATAGGCACTCGTTTAGTACTGATTAAGCGTGGCAAAATTAGCGAAGCGAGTCAAAACCAATCGAGGGTAACAATTACTGTTCAGATTATCTTTACATTTATTTATTTTGACGCTCTCTTATGTATATAATTGCTTGTGATTTGAGACGTGTTTAATTCATTTAAAATTATTAACATCTATACAATGATCTTTATTAAAATTACGAACGCGTGTCCAATGTTAAAAGCAAAGTATTTTGGAGTATTGTGTGAATTAGTGTTTTCTTTTGCTGTTGTAACACCAAAGGTTCCAACACCCAACTGTAATCGAACATCCTGTATGTATATATTTCTGCTGAATATATCGGGGAATGTTTCTAGTCTTACGAAATCTTAAAAATCAGGAGTATGCAAGTATGCAGTAGGTATGCTTGTGTGATGACAATATCATCTTAAGGTGCGTACTCACTGAGCGAACGAATGCCGAATGAGCAGCGAAGGTTCTGGGTTCGTTCGGCCGTAATTCAGGTACCCTACCAATGAGCGAATCCGAAACGAATGCAGAAAGTTCGCTATTTGCTTGGCTTCGTCGGTTTGTTTAGCAGAAAAAATGTGTGACAAAATTATAGCGGCATCAGCTTTT